ACAATCTAAAAGATATATAATAACACCCACAAAAGATGGCTGATGCAGTTTATTAATGGAAGACCGGGAGAGTGTGTCCGTTTACAGGGTTTGATCTCGGAGAGTGGTCAGCAAGCGTATTAGACCTGCAATTGATATCAGGTCTACCTCAGGATGTGAGAGCATATGCACAGAGGTGGAAGGGAATTTACTACCGAGGAGAGGTGGTGATTGCACGAGTGTGGATTACACTAAACAACATAGTCACAAATTGGAATTTGGCTTAGCACAAGGATTAAGGTGTACAGCACTACTTGTGTTTGGATTTTTGAAAACTTGATTTAAAAGGAGAACTATGGGGTCAGTGCTTTTCCCCATAGTTCTCCTAAGGGTCCCGGGAGGACACAAACTAGCGTCCTCCTGTCACCCAAAGCTCAGTGTAACTAGCGGTATACTGAGACCGCTGCAGCCGGGACGGATCCCGACATTACTGTCGAGATCCACCCAGCTGGGTGATTGACAGCTGGCTCTGCCTCTGTAGAGCTGTACCCGCCCTCTCTCCCGTCCGTTTCGCCAGTGAGCGCTGGAGGATCGGACAGGGGAGGGGAGAATCCCTGCAGGGAGCTGTGAGTGACAGTCACTGCTCTATGCAGGGAGATGATCGAGAAGTGAGCGAGCGACGGTATGTGTTCGCTCACTTCCCGATCTATTGAGCCGACGTGTGACAGTTTCATTGTCACACGTCGGCTGAAACTATGAGGTGAGTGATATTCACTCACCTCATAGTTCTCCTTTAATGTTACTTTTTATGTTATTTGAATCAGCACTTAGAACAGTTTATTAGCATCACTAAAGGAACAAATTGAATATGAAGATTCATTCCTCACAGACTGATATGAGGATTGAGGACTTTTCACTATACTGTCCATGAATGGAAGTCATGCTGATTTGTTCATCCTTAGAACACTACGTTAAACTGAACTGTACAACAGCTATAAACCACTAGGGCGAGCTGGCCCCTTTTTTGCTTTTGTATAGGGTCCAATCATGCTGTAGAGGGCAGTAAACCCACATGTCATACATCTAAAGTGCTGTGTCCTTTAATAAACTATGGAGAAAATGAGTTTATAATAATGGCCGTTCACTGCATAAGGATTTTGCTCATATTTTCAGCTCAGTTCAAATAGGTTAAACATTTGAGAAGTTGTTCTGAATAGTGTTTTTAATCTAGACCTTAATAAATAGGCCCATTAGACATACTATGTGTGTCTGGTAACTGCCATTTCCAAGACATTACACGGTGAAGACACGCTACTTATTTTCTTTACCACCACTTTAAAAATGTTTCCAAGCTGGCAACTGTGACCATTATGTCAGTACTCATGGTTGAGATGGCTTCAGATGACATATCAAAGATCATAAATATACAGAGTGTTTGAAGTACTATAAATCCTGACAGATTGTTTTACATAGTGATCTACTAATCACATCATTGCTTTCACAAGCACATTAATCTGCCAGGGAACAGATCATGGAGTAGTCGTTTACTCACCAGCCTACCTACACTTAAAATAATGGATTATATAATGGATTGAGGGCATATTATTTATGAAGCAGATTCTGTGGCATTCACCAAACATTCACTGAAGCTGAATCAGTCCCTGCAATTTAAAACATATGCACCAGAGTAGAGCTGCAACAATGAATCAACTAAGTCGATTATAATCGATGATGGAAAACGTTGTCAATGTTTCCCATCATCGATTAGTTGAATTTCGATTAGTTTGCCTGCGGCTCCCTGTACGCCACTTCTCCTCCCCGAACGCTACTTCTCCTCCCTGCATGACACGACTCCTCCCCGCCTCACGGACTCGCCGCACACCGCTTCTCCTCCCCGCCATACGGACTTGCCGCACACTGCTTCTCCTCCCCGGACTCGTCGCTGCCCACCCATCCACGATCGGCACAATGAAGAAGGAAGAGCAAGCATGGGGGGGAGAGAGACAGGTGCCAAACAGGCCCACAATCTGCTCAGGTAAGCCTGCAACCTCCCCCCCCCCCCCCACAAGGTGCTGTATTAATGTATTGCTGGGATAGTGGGATTTGTAGTCCTCTATAGCTGATGGTACATTGTGCTGTATAATATATATCATAATGTACCATCAGCTATAGAGGAATACAAATCCCGGCAGTACATTTTACACTTTATGTATAATGTTCTATTGCTGGGATTTATTGTATTCCTCTATAGCTGGTGGTATTTACATTGCGCTGTATAATCATTATACAGCGCAATGCAGAATACCACCAGCTAAAAAAAAAAAATCCGATTAACCAAACTCAATAATCGGCTAACTAATCGATTCTGAAAATAATCGTTAGCTGCCGCTCTACACCAGAGGAATGCACAAGCCGTAAATGGTTCGCAAATGTCACATTCATTGATTTATAAATGACTGATCTAAGCATTTTGGCTTCAGTGGGGTTTATGCAGGTGGTTTATATGTGTGGCAGTAGGTACTGTACATACTCTATAGCAATGAAAAAAATGAAAGGAGCAGAATGGAACATTTTTCTCAAAGTAACAAAATTCTAACAGTAAATGTGGTTTTCCCTCGGGAAACTCCATTCATTTCCAAAATAGAAAGTTCAAATCAAACAAAACTTTGAACGACGTCCATCAGATTTCTGATGGCATTATCAAATGTTTTGGCGAGATTTTCCGTATGAAAATTCCTACAGAAATCTACCAGTGTATAACCAGCTATCCACATCCTATCACTGGCAGAATCACTTGTGTGCAAAGCCCTAGGGGTCAAATTAATGTTAAAGTTGGGTACACACAGTTCGAATTTTGTCTGGTTCCTAATAAACCGGCCGGAATTTGTACAGTCGGTGCCGCTGTTAGCACCCTTCCGCCTGGCATGCATTGATCAGCTGATCAAAGGAGCCAGTTCTCCTGGCCCATGGGTTGAATGCAAAAAATAGAGCCATATATACCCCTTAGGCCCCATTCACACTGAGCGATCACACTGAGCGGGTATTTACTGCGCGATATCGCTCTCCAATGCACGGCAATGGGGCTCTGTCCGTCGCTGTCGCAGGTCGTGCGTCGCTACAGCAGGACCCTTTTTGGAGCGGATTTTGCCGCGATTCTAGTTTGCTCAATGCAACCATTTGCGCGATATCGCGCGACAAACCGCGCGATATCGCGCAAAATGCAAATCGCGCGATTTGCGAATCGCTCAGTGTGAATGGGGCCTTAAAGAAGAACTATGAGGCGAGTGAAAATCACTCAGCCTCATAGTTCTAGCAGACCTGTGACAATAAAACTGTCACAGGTCGGCTCAATAGATCGGGAAGTGAACGAACACATACCGGCGCTCGCTCACTTCTCGGTCTATCCGTGTAGAGCCGTGACTGTCACTCACGGCTCCCTGCAGGGATTCCCCCCCTCCCCGATCCTCCAGCGCTGACTGGCGGAACGGACGGGGGAGGGGGCGGGTATAGCTGGCTCTGCCTCTAGATAGGGAGAGCCAGCTGTCACTCACGCAGCTGGGTGGATCCAGACAGAATTGTTGGGATCCGTTTCAGCTGCGGCGTCTCAGTATACCGCGAGCTGTAGCTCCCTATATACTGAGCTTTGGGTGACGGGAGGATGCTAGTTTGTGTCCTGCGGTTACCCTTAGGAGAACTATGAGGAAAAGCCCTGACCCCATAGTTCTCCTTTAAGTCCCTCTCAGACTCAACTGTCCCTAGCCCAGCAAGATATTAGCCGAGTTTTGCAATCTACAATTATTTCTATGGAGAGTTCGTAATCAAGAATTACATTTCAAAGATTCAACGCCTAAATTCGCCTAGTAAATAAAACAAGTTATTTGATCAAGTGTCATTCAATGGGATTTGCCCACCGGTTTCCACATGGGTTTGTTTTACTGGGTGAACCTTGCCAAATTAAATGTTACAGAATAGAATGTCATTCAAATATGTAATGTACAGCAGTGGGGTCACAAGGGGCATTTTTTTCCTGCTCGCGCGCGCCCCCTAGCGCGCGCGCACGGGCAGGAAAGACCCGCTTGTTACTACAGCCGTTAACGGCTGTTTCACATACAACCGATCTGGGGGAACTTGAAGAGCCGCAGGAGAAAATCAGCGGTGCCAAAGAAACCAGCGCTAGAAGAAGCGAGGCGGCACCGGAGAGAGCAGAGCAGATGCTTTCTCTATAGCGCCAGCTCCTGTCACAGGTGGACTGATACCAAATGCACTCCGTGAGTTTCGCTCATTCTGGCTAGCGATTGGTTACCAAATTGCTCTTGGAAAGGTACGGCACCCCTGATCACCCTATTCTTAACTTTGCCATTTTGGATTATTTAATTTGGATTTTTATCTGTAATTTTTCCTTAATATATAAAAAATAAAACCCCCAGTGGTGAATAAATACCACCAAAAGAAAGCTCTATGTGTCCCCAAAAAAGGGTATAAAATTCATTTCAGTACAGCGCTGCATGACGGAATAAATGTCAGTCAAAGTACTGCAGCGCTGAATACTGAAAAATGGCCTGGATGGGAAGGGGGTTTAACACCACGGATGTCAACTGGTTAAGGTACTTGAACTAAACTCACATTATTAAGATATCACCACGAGGTAGAGTTTTCCGCAAAAGAGACATGCAAAGTTTTTTCCCCCCAAAAAAACTCCTCTCCGGTTACTATGCGAACTCCTGCATAGTAACCAAGCTAAGTGGTTACTATGGGCAACTGCTCCTGTTTTAATGAATTCCCCTCAATATGGTATAAGAAGTCCCACTTTCTCTTCTTAAAAGGTTGACAGATATGTTTTAAATTGCCTTCTCAAAAAAACACCCAATATGGACAATACACAAGTTCTCAGAAATCGGTATACCAAGCTAAATCCAGCAGCCAGCTGAGGAGATCGTCTGTCTGATGAATACATTTTCTGGTTTTCCGCCGGGCAGTTATTGTAGATACATGATCACTCAGCTAACGTTAATGGATTTCACTCAACGTCCCGTCACCACAGCAAAGACTACAACTCCCGGCATTCCATACGCTCCACAGCTGCCAACGTCACCTCTGACCTCACGAGAAAACGTCACCAGGGGTCGCCATGGTGACGGGATGACGTAGGAGCCTCTGACAGTGGTGTTCTGAACCGGCATCTCTCTTCGAGGTCAGACTCAGGAGTCCTCAGCGAGAGGCGGCCCCTCCCAGCTAACACTCCGCATCGAAACGGTGTCCAGCCGTCTGCCTCAGAGCCGGAATGGCCGCCAAATGCGCGGGACGCCTCAGTGGTGTGGGCGCGCGCTCCCTCAGCGACTTTGTCGGGCTCGCGACATTCCAGGGGTTCCGGGGCTGCCGGACGCGAGCGCAGCGTCACCCAATCAGGTGAGAGCAATTATGGGGGGGCGCGCGGCTACGAGGCGGGGCCTGGGGGGAAGTCACGTGAATTCTGTACAGTACTAGAAAAATGTAAGCAGAAGGTAGAGAAGGCGTCGGCGGGTTCGGTGTGAGGGGCCCAGTGAGCGCCCCGGAAGTAGGAAGTGTAAAGCATTGAGGGAAATGGTGGCTGCACACTGTTCTGCAGTTACAGTAAAATAGGAGTTTTAATAAAAACATGTATAGTAAGACAATAATCGTTACTATGCATGACCTAATAGTCCATTCACCCCTTTACTTCAGGCTATGTACACATAATGGTAAACATAAAACTTAATTTTCCTGACCAGAATTCTGTTGGAGCCTTCTTTGTCTTTGGCGCTCATGCACTGGTCCGCTAACATATAGATGAAGGCTTCATTAGCGTCAGCAGCAGTTATCTGCATTAATGTGAAATATAAAATAAAGTTCACTTGGCTGGAAGTTGTAAGACTGCGTGCAATGCATTTACCTGCTCTGTATACAGAGGCAAGTAGCCCCATTTTTGGTTTTATCTGTCGCTAATACTTGCAGAATGGGTTATATATAGGAGAAAAATTGTAGTATATGAGGTGCATGCACACAGAGTCATAGAATCTGAGGTGTAAAAACACTTTTTTGTTGTACCTTCAACATGCTTACTCGAATTTGAGTAAGGCCTAGGTGCCCATTGACTCTGTCCTGATGTATTAATTTTGAAGGGGCTGCCAATGCACCACAATGCATATTTTAATTGAGATGTAGGACTGTTTTTCTAATGCAGCACAGCACACTGATTGGTCACCTCTGTGCACTGTCTAGGTACATTGGTGAATAGTATTTCACTGGACTTTGCTTTGTGCATTACTGCCAAAGCTAAACGGCATGCATGGAGGAATCTCATCTGCCGATTTCTGGCTTCACTTTTTAAACAGTAACTACAGCTGATTGACTGACATCCACTTTCCACCCAGGCCGGCCATGGCTTGGATTTCAGCTGATTTACAGGAATTGGCTGAAATTCTAGTCCTGTAGACCAGCTAAAAGTGCAACTGTTCTATTAAACGTGTGCTGACAGTTTTTCTTTCTTTATGGCAGAAAAGACTTTGTAAGTCTCTTCTTCCAAAAAAAAAGCTTCTACCTGCCTGTCGGCAATTTGTTTTCCTGTGCACTGAGCCACGCATGCACAGATTGGTGCACTGGCTTGGCAAGGTCCTGTGCCGAAATGAAGTAACTCCGTTTGCATGCGTGGGAATTGCATCTGCCGGCTTGGCCAGTCAAGAGTCCAAGGATGCCGAACCTGGGTGAAGATGTAAGGGCAGGCAGCGCAGTACTAGAGGGGATCGCCTGCAAGGTAAGTGGGCCACGATGTGCTAATATTCTGTACATGCTAGCCCTTTATGGCAAACTCCTCCAGGGGGCTTCTTTTTTTCTCTCCCCACTTCCGCTTTAAGTGGTTTTAAGTCGGGTGTACACACACACATTTTCTTTGTTCAACTTGCTGGCTGAACAAAGAAAATATAACCTATTCCTCCAACGTTTACAGGTGTGGATGGAGGAATCCCCTGCTGCTTCTATCTAATTATGACAGCAACTGGCGGCCACTGTCAGAATACCTGAATGGAGCCTGCAGTTTATTGGGTGCAAGCACTTATGGCTAACAATTTTCCAACCCGCTCCTTTGATCTGCTGGTCAGAAGGGTTCCAACAGCGGCACCCACTGAATTTCGGCCAGTTCATCAGGAACCGGATGAAATCTGTCTTTAGATGTTCTCTGCAGGTAATCGGGTTGTGGATAAAGTGATCTTCGTGATCAATCCCCATTATTTGGAGACTGAATGAATGGACTGAATAGTGCCATTGTATGATAACTGCCTTTGTGGACTAGGCTGTTGTATCTCTGTTCCCGGTGGCATAACAATCACCATAGCGACACAGGTGGCCACTCTGGGGCACAGTGGGGCCCAGCCAGATGCCGTGCGGGCCACCTAGGCTGCTATGGCATCTTATGCTGGTGGCTTTCACTGGCGGCTCTGAAAAAGAATGCGCTGCTGTACAGATCACTGACAGTAATCTGTGCAGCAGCGCGTTCCTCCCCACAGAGTCACTGAGAGCCAGCGGCGGTAGAGGAGGAGGCGGGGCCCGTGGTCGGCAGCTGGGGAGGAGGTGGGGCCCGTGACGGAGAAGGAGGCGGGTGCAGAGGAGGCGGGCCCATCAGCGACGATGGAGGAAAAGGAGGCGGACAGGTAAGGAGTGCGACCAGCCCACCTGAGGGTGACCCTGCAGAGCCCACCATAGTCTATGTGTGGGATCTCAAGCAGAGGGGCAATGTGCCCCTCTACTGCCCGCTGCCCCTCTACTGGATGTGTGGGATCTCAAGTGGGCTCTGCAAGGGGTAAAACTAGAAATCATGGGGCCCTGTGATTTCTAGTTACGCCCCTGTCTGTTCCCATTGTTTTTAGCTGTGTTTGCTCAATTTCTTCATAGATAATGGGGTTAAATTGACAATCAATGTCGACTGTAGTGATGAAAAAATCGAAGGGACATTAAGGGCCTGTTCACATGAGTTTCAGGTCCGGATCTGCAGACGCGTTGCTACTGATGCAGTGCGTTTTGGCCGCGTTTTTGATGCGTTCCAGTAAATAAAAAAAAATATTTGTTTTTATTTTTTTGCAGGAGTGGGGATGTTAGTATGTTAGCTGCAGTGCGTTTTTGACGCGTTTGCGTTTCCTGACCGTACAAAATGTGACATGCAGTATTTTTCTGTCATAAACCTGAACGGACTGCGCACGTGAGAACTGTAGCCCATAAAACACATAGGGATGCATTTTTAGTGCGAACAGGAAATTTCTCATGAATAAAATTCTAACAGTGAATGTGGTTTTCATTCAAGAAACTCAATTTATTTCCAGAATAGGATGTGAAAACCAACGCAAATTTGGAATGACATTCATGATGGCATTTTCAAATGTTCTGATGAGAATTCTCATATGGAAATCTACCAGTGCCTGGCCAACTGTAGTCTGCAGGTAATCGGGGAGTGGAGAAAATAATGATCCTCATCACCAATCAGCATTTATTTGGGTACTGAATGAATGGAATAGGAAGTCCCATTGTATGATAACTACCTTTTGTGGACTAGGCTGTTCTATCTGTTTCCATTGTTTTGTTGTTTGTGTTTGGACACTGATATCTAACTCATTTAGTCATGTGTACGTCAAAGTCTTGGAAGATCAGACGGAATTATTTTTTGTATACATAGACATCAGGTCAAACGTTTATTAAGATCCTTTGTCTAAGTATATGATTACAGCCATATATTCGACTAATGGAAGGTGGGGGGGGGGGGGCACAGTATACTTTATATGGTGACCGAAGCGTGATCATCCACATATTCAGCATTCAATTATACACGTCACCGTGCTAATGAAATGTTCACAAACCCTAAAGCTGGCCATAGACATTGGAGAACAGTCAGCTGTGTAAGCACAATGTCATTTTCTCACAAATAGACTCTTTAGAATATTCAGGACTGGCTGAAGCTGCCCTACGATATGGAATGTTTTACTGAACGTGCGAGAACTCCAATATATCTGTGTATATTTTTTTTTATGATGCGCCTATATACGTTTTGTTTTTAATTATCTCTAAGTAAATACCTATATGAGGGAAAACAATCAGTTAACCCAGTACAGTTGAGTCATTTTAGGAAATGCAACTCATTTGATATCAGTTTTGTAAATTTTGTCATTAATTATACATGGTTTTCTCTCCTGTCAGCTGTGAATAGTTATCTGCAGAAAATGCATGGCATCCCCCCTCTGAAGCATGTTTCATTGTTCATGTCACCATCAGCTTGTAATCTGTGTTAGGCCCTGTTCCCACTGTGCAATGCATTTTTTGCCATCATTGCAACAGTTCAATCTTGGTTTTATCAGACCAGAGAATCTTGTTCCTCAGTCTGAGAGTCCTTCAGGTGCCTTTTTTTTTTTACAAACTCCAAGCGGGCTTTCATGTGTTTTGCACTGAGGAGATGCTTCCCTCTAGCCACTCTGACATAAAGACCAGATCGGTGGAGGGCTGCAGTGATGGTTGTCCTTCTGAAACTTTGTCCCATCTCCACACAGGATCTCTGGAGCTCAGTCAGAGTGACCATCGAGTTCTTGGTCATCCCACTTACTAAGGCCTTCTCCCCCGATTGCTCAGTTTGGCCGGACGACCAGTTCTTGGAAGAGTCCTAGATGTGCCAAACTTCCCCACATTTGAGAATTATGGAGGCCACTTTGATCTTGGGAACCTTCAGTGCAGCAGAAATTCTGGTGTGCCTTGCAATAATCCTGTCTCGGAGCTCTGCGGGCAGTTCCTTTGACCTCATGGCTTTTGCTCTGATACAGTATGCATTGTCGGCTGTGAGGCCTTCTATAGAGAGGTGTCTGCCTTACCAAATCATGTCCAATCAATTTAATTGACCACATGTGGATTCCAATCAAGGTGTAGAAACATCTCCGCAATGATCAAGAGCAATGGGAGGCACCTGAGCTAAATTTCAAGTGTTGTTGCAAAGGGTCTGTATACTTATGCCGATGTTATGTTTCAGTTTTTCCTTTTTCATACATTTGCAAAGATTTCTAAAATTCTGTTTTCACTTTGTCATTATGGGGTATTGAGTGTAGATTACTGAGGAAAAAAACTAATTACAACTGTAGTATCAGGCTGCAATATAACAAAAGTGAAGGGGGTCTGAATACTTTCTGAATGCACTGTAGTTGTAAAGAGATTGGCTTGATGTGAACATTCTTTCTAATCAAGATATTCCTTTTAAAAAAATGCTTTCTGTATATAGTCTGGAATTCTACATGTACATAGGGACAACCATATTTGCTCCTTACATTTGCAGCCTGTTCTTCCTGCTTTGCATGGCTTCATAGTGGTGTGCTATCTTATCTCAACAGCTGTTCAGAGGAGTCATTGTAGTAGCTAATTAACAAATC